TGAGGTGGGTTGGAGAGGTGTCAACGGGTAGTGAGGGAGTGGATACGGCTGAATGGGAGCGAGAGCGACGGCTGGGTGGGAGAAGAAATGGCGAGAAGGGGTGGGGGGGAGGGGAGGAAAAGGAGTAGGAGCACAGGAGGTTCTTGTCGAGAAGTTTCAAGAACAAGAACCAAGAAACGACAGCGCCGAATTCGAGCTGTGAAAGAGACGGATGCCAGCGCAGAACGAGAAAATTTCTGCCAGCGCAGAACAAAAAAAAATCTGCCAGCAGAGCGAGAAAAATTATGCCAGCGCAAGACGAGCGCATTTAGCGATGCCAAGCGCCAACCCACTATAATAACCTGAGAGAACAATGGAGTTGAGTAGTTGGTGAAAACAATTCATATTTATAAAAAAACACAAAAAAAAGCATAAGTGTCCAAATTGTTCCACAATTAATTAACACCTTTGAGGGAAGAAACATCTATAGAACATTTCACTTCAAAATAGGGAACTATCCAGCCTGACCTGTTTTGAGGAAAAATGAAGAACTTATGAATTGCTTCTATAAGCAAAGTATGTACTCTATCATAATGTTTCTAATACAAGGGATACAACTCTACGCAACCCTTCCGACGTAAACGTCGAATCTTGCTTTCGTCTTCCTTGTGTTTGTTTTTCGTCGCTGTTGCGATAACCGCTTCGTTAGCATGTCGCACAGTCCGAGCCATCTAACACCCACAGGTCCGTGGCTTGCAACGGAACGACCAGCACTCGAGAATTGTTTCCGCGTATATCCCGCGCTTATTCATGTTGCAGTTTCGTTCACCTCGCCCTCCTCGTATTGACGTCGCCGTGTGCTTCCGCTCGTCAATCCATCCAAGTCGGGTATTTGTGCCACGTAACAGAGCCGAGTGACACGCGCACTGGTTCTCGGATATGCGTGAGCTTCGAGTCATGATCCGAGCGCCTTCCGTCACTCCGTGTGCTGCGCGCACGTGGCAGAGCTGATCGGCTGCTTGGGGAGGAAAGATGTGGAGATGGTGATGGTGACGGGCCCGGTGAGGGGCTTCCGCGTGTCTCTACGTCGCCATGGCTCTGGGTAACGCGAGTGGGTCGTGAGTGGCTGGTAGGTGCATGAAACAAGGCTACGGCGCTACTGCCGCGCACGGCGCGGCTGGCCTGGTCGGCCTCGGCGAAGGTGGTGCCGTAGCTAGAAAGAGAAGGAGTAGTCGCAGCGGAATAAAAGAAGCTAGGCATGTGAGAGAGAAGGCCTAGCTCCAGGAGACGTTGAGATCGAGAAGAAAGATTCCAAAAATAGACGATTAGAAGAATACGGAATAGGATGATGCAAGAAAGACTAGGGGAATTCTCAAACGGGTCCTTGCCTAGCTAGCTACGAACAACAACACTTGCTAGCCTCGGGCCTTTCCCCTTATCCCTGTCAAGATGGTTAGTACAGCAGGGCATAGCATCGAGGCGTGATGTCGAGATGCTATGCTAGATTGAGTAGCGCCATGGTCTTCCTATCCGAGTCGCGCTTCTCTTCTCCTAGGATAAATATCTCTTCTCTGATTCTTGTTGTATCATATCATCCTTTGTCTAATCTAAGAATCCACTTCTTGAATCTCTCTCAACTCTCTCGTTTATCTTTCTCCCTTCCGCTGCCAACGTTCTCCTTCTCTTTCTAGCTACGGCGCCACCTTCGCCTAGGCCGGCCAGGCCAACCGCGCCGTGCGCGGCAGTAGCGCCGTAGCCTTGTTTCATTGGTGTCAGAGCCTAACGTTCCTCGACTTCTTCTCTTGTGCTAAGCTAGCAGCTTTCTTCCTAACTTCTAATTTCGAGCTAGCTTACGAAACTCTTCAATTCGATTTCTACGAGACTACTATCTTCTGAGGAGCTAGAATGACGAGTTAGCTCCTGCTCCAATCTGCTCAAGTCGAATTCGTTTTTGGTGTTGGCGATATTCCTGAACCTGCGTGGACGAATTTCAGCCAACCAGAAGAATTGGGAGCAGAAATTCGAATTTAGAAGTGACTCTTCTGCTCAACGTGTCTTCCTACTGCTACACTTCGTTCTCCATGCAACTTTCCAGCCCAAGGTGTAGTTGGGTAAAAAGTGTTCGGAATTTCAGTTGCATGACCTGAAATCTTTCTGCTGAAGAATTTCTATTTGGTCTTCACATCTATTTCCAACTTCTTTGGAGTTCGTGAATCTGTTTTCTACTCCCTACAACGTTATTAATTTGCTGGAAAATCTCAAAGGTTACTTCTCTAATTGCTCTTGCTGATGCTCTATAAAGTGCAGATAGTAAATAGAGCAATTACGAGCAAGGCAATCATGTCTCCATTTTCTATCCCTCCTTTCTTCTGATTCAGTTTGACATGTTCCTAGCCCTATGCTCTGCTGTTTATAAAGAGCATCAGCACCTTATTTCACTAACTCTAGTGGATCCAGAAGGTTGCTAGGCTAGATGGTTTGCCATGTCATTTCTCTTCTCTGGTTTTCTCCTTTTAGGCATATTTGGCGGTATTGCTGGACGTGCTATAGGCACCAGCGTTGAGGCAACTTGGTATAGGTTGTGATGCTCGGTTAGAAGCGCCATAGCTGAGAAAGCATGGGCTTAGTTGAAAGTGTCCACGACCATTGACCAATAGCTGCATGTGACCACAAGAGTTGTAGTATGGGCTGCAGCTATATGCCAACCTCCTCCTCTGTGTTTCTTCTTGAATCTGCTGAAGCATGAAAAAGAGTGAAGACCAAGAATGAAGAGTAAGCTTATATTGTAAATACTTTCTGATTTGCATTTTTAGGAATTTTGGTTGTTTGTATTTTCTGGTTTTAGACCCTTGAATAGTTAGTATGGGTAAGCATCGGGACGATGCTTCTTAGGGAGGGGAATTATGTAACAAGACGAAATTCACCATGCAAGATGCATGGGAATTCTCAAACGGGTCCTTGCCTAGCTAGCTACGAACAACAACACTTGCTAGCCTCGGGCCTTTCCCCTTATCCCTGTCAAGATGGTTAGTACAGCAGGGCATAGCATCGAGGCGTGATGTCGAGATGCTATGCTAGATTGAGTAGCGACACGGTCTTCCTATCCGAGTCGCGCCTCTCTTCTCCTAGGATAAATATCTCTTCTCTGATTCTTGTTGTATCATCTCATCCTTGGATCTTTCTAATTCTATATTCTTGGAATCTCTCTTCCTATCTTCTCTCATCTATGTCTCCAGAGCTGGGCTTCTCAGCTTAGCCTAGCTTCTCTCCCTTCCGTTGCAACGTTTCTTTCTAGCTAAACCCTAAACCCTAAACCCTATGCTAGAAAGAGAAAGAAACGTTGCAACGGAAGGGAGAGAAGCTAGGCTAAGCTGAGAAGCCCAGCTCTGGAGACATAGATGAGAGAAGATAGGAAGAGAGATTCCAAGAATATAGAATTAGAAAGATCCAAGGATGAGATGATACAACAAGAATCAGAGAAGAGATATTTATCCTAGGAGAAGAGAGGCGCGACTTGGATAGGAAGACCGTGTCGCTACTCAATCTAGCATAACATCTCGACATCACGCCTCGATGCTATGCCCTGCTGTACTAACCATCTTGAGAGGGATAAGGGGAAAGGCCCGAGGCTAGCAAGTGTTGTTGTTCGTAGCTAGCTAGGCAAGGACCCGTTCGAGAATTCCCATGCATCTCGCATGGTGAATTCCATCTTGTTACAGTGCAGCCGCGTGAGCGCCTGCACTCAGTGACACATTCATCACTCTTTTGTGTAGCATTGTCTCAAATTGTCTCACGCTGTCACATAGTGCCATGTCCTCACATGGTGCCATGTCCTCACATGGTGCCATGTCCTCACATGGTGCCATGTCCTCACATGGTTAATGAAGTTCCTGAGCTTCCTTTTTTGTTCAGTGTGGGCCTTTCTTTCCCTCAATATAACTTGTTACCTCCTTTTCTACTTTCCTACCTGCGTGCCATGCGCCATGCAGGTTCCCACCAGCATCAACGCCATCTGCTTCCTCCCATCCGCCACTCAACCACCCACCAGTCCATCCTTTCATCGGCGCACTTCTATATCCTCTATCAGCCCCCCTTCTTTCCCACTTTCCCCCTCTCCTCCCCTCTCCCCCCCGTCAATCTCCACCCCCCTCCACACGCAGCAAGCTGACCTGCAGTGACATGTGTGCGTGGGACTCCACTCAACGCACGCCACTTCTTACTCGCCCCGCTCTCCCCGTCACCTCGTGATACCCACCAGCCAACCCCACCTGCAGTCCCATCCACAGCGTCACCCGCGCTCATCCGCTGTCGGAGCAAGGTCAGCAGGGGTGGGGAAACGTTCTTGGGGATCAGTTGGGAGAGCATGGGGAGTTGGGGGATGGGAACCAGTTGAGGGGAGCATGGGTGTTAGGGGGGTGGGAATCCGTTAGAATCTTCCTTCATTCACTCCCTCCTCTTCCCTCCTCTTCCCTCCTCTTCCCTCCTCTTCCCTCCTCTTCCCTCCTCTTCCCTCCTCTTCCCTCCTCTTCCCTCCTCTTCCCTCCTCTTCCCTCCTCTTCCCTCCTCTTCCCTCCTCTTCCCTCCCCTTCCCTCCCCTTCCCTCCTCTTCCCTCCCCTCCTCTCCCAGCGGCCGGGTAATGCCGACAGGTCAGGGAAAGCCATCTGCTCGCTGCCCAGTAAGATGGCGCCTGCTGGCGAGCGTGTGGATGAGGCGGACAGGCTGTTGGGGCGGCGGGGGCAGCATTGGAGCGAGCACAAGGCGGGGGCAAGGGGAGGGCGGGGGTGAGAGTCAAAGTGGAGGCGGTGGGTGCTGCTTGCTTCGTCTAAGGAAAGGGAGGCGGGTGCAAGGTGAGGAGCGCAGGCATGGCATGTTAGCATGGGGTGCGCACGCAGGCGCATCAAAGGCTGTGTGATGGGATGGGGGTTTGCTTGCAGCGGCTGTGGGTGTTACAGCGCATGACTAGGGGGTGGGTTCGGTGAGTGTGGGGCAGGCACAGGGGGGCTGCTTGCTGTGAGTGCGAATGCTGCCATTCCTCAGTGGTACCACACAGGGACCTTATGGTGACTCTAGGTGCGTGTTGCTGTGCAGGGCGGTGCCTTGGGTTGGGGTGGAACTCATACAGGCTCCTGCAGCATGTGGGATGGCCGTGGCTGATTGCCGCCACCACGCCTGGCAGGCACCAGTTCACGGCATGCATGCGGCACATCAACCACCTATGCTTCACCTTCACACCGTGTTCCTTGCGTCATCCGCACTCCACTCACATCAACTGTTTCTCTCCCCTCCCCCTCCCCTCGCTCCTTTCCCCTGCCCCTCCCCTACGCTTTCATTTCCAGTTTGTTCTAAGCTGTGGCACCAACGTCTTCCGTCTCTCGTCTAAGCAAGGAGGGCGAGGGGGCAAGGGAGAGCGAGGGCGAGAGAGAAAGCTTGTCATCTCAGTTAAGATGTGTGCTTTCAGGTAGCGGCGTTACATTGCAACGCCTCATGTCATGAGGCATATGATGTCTGTCGTGGGCATGGAGGAGGATGTGTGGACGAGGATGTGTCACTTCTCATCGCACACCTGTCCCTTTCCTCACCCACTTCTTCTTCCCCATCTCTTTCCTCTGTCGTCCTCCTCTTCCCCCCCCCCCCCCCCACCTCCACACCCCGTCTTCTCAGCACCATCAAGCACGGCAGGGCACGGCACAGTCGGCAGCAGGAGGAGGCGGCGGAGGTGAAGACACCCCGCGGAGTCTGCTTCCAAGCGATCATGCATGCGTGGCAGTTCATAGCGTGCCATTGCAGATGGGGTGATCCAAGTGTATGCGATATGCAGGAAAGACGTGCGGGCAGGAGCGCACTGGCTGTCAGGGTTGGGCAAGGCAGGAGCAGGCGGTGCTGCTGGCAGCGGCAGCGCTGGTGGTGGCGGTGGTAACTGCACGTTACGGCTGCGGCAAATCACATTGGAGGACATTTGGACGGCGAAGCTGCAGGTGGAAGTGCAGCATGAGGTGAAGTGCAGCATGGGGTGAAGTGCAGCATGGGGTGAAGTGCAGCATGGGGTGAAGTGCAGCATGGGGTGAGAGAGAGCCTCGTGCAACCAACAGCAACTTGCTCTGGGGCGCGGCAAGGCAGCAAGGGAAAGCTCTTCTTGTTGTTGTAACGCCGCACGTATACTCTGTAAAAAAGGTGGGTTCTGGGTGATACATTGTAACGCCGCATGTGACATGTGATTGCTGCCATGGGCACGGAGGAGGGTGTGAGGACGTGGGTGAAAAGGGGTTCAACACCTTTAGTCAATTCACCCTCCTTTCTTACCCCAACTCAGCATCATCATGCACGGCAAAGCAACAACACCCTTTGGTCTCCTTCCTCACATTCCTCTCCTTCTCCCCGCTCCCCCTCCCACTTCCCCCATCTTCCTCTCCTCCCCCCTTCCCCCGCACAGAGCATGGCAGGGCACGGCACAAGAGGAGGCGGCCGAGGAAAAGGCTTCCCCCGCGGCTGCCAAGCTGGGTGGCGCTCCCACGCCTCCATTAGGGGGTGCACTCTCCTTAGAGGCTGCGCTGGGCATGGGGTGCGCTGGGCATGGGGTGCGCTGGGCATGGGTTGCGCTAGGCATGGGGTGTGCAGGGCATGGGGTGTGCTGGGCATGGGGTGTGCTGGGCATGGGGTGTGCTGGGTGGGGTGTGCTGGGCATGGGGTGTGCTGGGCATGGGGTGTGCTGCGCATTGGGTGTGCTGGGCATGGGGTGTGCTGGGCATGAGAGGGTGCATGAGAGGGCGCATGGGAGGGCATATGCGCTGCCCTGCACATGCTCCCACTTTCTCCGTCCCATTCCATCTCCACAGCCACCCACCACGCCTCGCATCCTTCCATCTTCTGCCCGCCCCTCTCTCACCCCCATGCTCTGCACTACCTCGGCTCTTCCTCGTCTCTTCCCGAGCCCCTTGTGCTACATTCCTCCTAGTACACGGCACTCCGTCAGCATGTGGGTGGGCCTACCACATGCACGCAACAGGGACAAGGTGCGCGTGACTCCCTCCCTGCTCCTACAACCCTCCAATCTCCCCCTTACCCCTCCATCTTTCCCCTCCTACCCCGCCTCCCCTTTTCCCCACTCAGACTGATGGTTTGCGTGCCAGGCACGGGCAGCAGGGGGAAGAGCAGGGCGATTCTCTCTGCTGGGTCTGCTGGGGAGAGTCTCAAGGGCGAGGGGCTGGAGGACGGCGCTGCCTTCACCCCGGGCCACGGAGGGACATAGCACGGTGAGGTGCGGTGCTGGGGTGTTGGGCTAAGTTAAGCAAGTAGGGACAGTGTGAGGCAGTGCGGGGGAATGGGTGAGACGTCAAGGTGGGTGTGACTATACGGGGGGGTGGTGTCAGTCAGTGTGAGGCAGGGACAGGGGAGGTGCTGCTAGTGCAAATGCTGCCATGACTGAGGGGTGCTCTGGGGTATATTGTGAGTCTTGTGTGTTCCTGTCCAGAGTGGTGTGCTGTGTTGGGTCGCTGCAATCAGAAAAATGGCTTTCCTACTCGCTGCATGTGAGCAGGAGAAGGTGAGGAGAGAACATGGTGAGTAGAGAAAAAGGCGATGAGCAAAGGAGGTGAGGAGGTAGGAGAACGGAAAAAAGGCGTTGAAGTAAGAAACAGGGAAGGCTGGTTGGAAGCAGGCAAGCTGTGGAGCGGGGAGAGGGTGAGCGGATTGCTGCAGTTTTGAAGCCTTTGAGCCTCTGGCATCTTGCTGGAGAATGTAGTAGAATAAAAGTTGAAATCTTGACTGAAGGGGGCGAAGGTCGGCCCTGCACTGGCGAGGTGATTATACTGAACGGCACTGTACTGAACTCCGGAGGGGGTGGGACAGAAAGAGTGAGAGGGCTGCAGGGGATGATAGAGCTGCACCAGATTCTTTTCCTCCGCCTCACAGCGTCTCCCTCCAATCAGCCGAGGACAGCTGGTGCGCGAGCACTGGTGCAGGCCTGTCAGGAGTGGCAGGCGATTCTGGTGGCAGCGGCAATGGTGGTGGTGGTGGCAGTGGTAACCGCGTGTAACGGCTGCGGCCATTCACGCTGGCGGACATTCGGGCGGCAAAGCTGCAAGTGGCGCGGAGCACAGGGGGAGACAGCAGCAGCATGGCGGCACTGCGGCCGTGCAACCATCTTGATGGAGGGGGAAGAAAGAGGCGGGGGGGGGGGGGGGGGGGAAATGAGGCGCCATGATAAGGAAAAATCTGCCGACTTCATTTTATCTGAAGCTGAAGCGCTGCAAACAGAGACGGGTGCTGTACCCTGCTTGCTCTGACATGTTGCGTGGCTCTAAGGAATGCTGCATGTGATACCATACCGGGAGCATCGCATGCAGAAACCTCAGCTGGTGCAGCTCACTGCATGCTGAATGAAACTTCCCCGAGACTGTTCAAATGGCTTGGATGTAGTGACGTTGCTTGGTTGATATACTGAAGTCTAGTTGGGCTTGAAGTGGTTGTTCCAAATCTCTGTTCAGTCAAACAAGGTTTACAACTAAACACTACATATAAATAGCATTCAGGTACATTAACTAAATTCTAAGAAGCCAGACAACTAAGCAGCACACTACCAGCAGAATCATCCCATGACAAGCCTCGGTCATCACATGGCCCAGCCTCTGACCCATTGGAGAGCACGTGAGCACCTTCAGTCGTCTAAGCGCCTCCCACAATCCAACCTCCATGCACCAATCCACCATCCAGTTGCTGCAACACCCTGACCAGCAGGGTGCAAAAAGTGTTTCCGCCTTCCTCCCCACCGTCCACCACCCGTGCCTTCACCAGCCGTACCTTGGCTGCTCTCTGCTCACTCCAATCAGCACCACCCTCCCACTCTCCACCACAAACTGCATCCCTCACGGCCTCCAAGGAGGCCTTGCTGCTGCTGCTGTTGCCTTATTTGCCCTGATAGGCCGCCTTCCCCTGCATTCCGCACCGCCATTCCTCCTCTCCTGCTGCTGCCTTGTGCTGCTGCTTACTGTGACTACATGACGGGTTACCACAGCCGCATGTGCCGTCCCTGAGGTCGCCAGTGCAGCAGGTGCAGTCTTGGCTGACCGTGGCTTGGGAATGAGGGACGGCGGCAGGCATGCACTTGCTGCTGCCGGCCTCGTCCCACGCTTCACAGCACCTCCTGCACTGCCCTTGCTGGGCTTGGGGATGCGGGTGTGAAGAATGAGAACGAGAAATGGATGAGCTATGAATGAAGTGGGTACAAGTACTAACCCTAATTGGGTTGTACCCCCTATGGGATACCCCACTATAGCCTACACAAAAGCATAAGCTATAATGTTCTGACACACCCCCATAGGCAATGTGGGGGAGAACAAGGGGTCACAAGACCAGTCAAGCAAAGCAAAGCAAAGCAAGCTCAGGGTGGATCACAACGTCACCACACAGTCTGAGCACAAGGTCAAGGCCACAAGGCCAGTTCACATGCAGGATGAGACATATATATATAAGTCTAAACAAGCAAGAGCAGGTATATATATATGCAAGAGTACAAGTAAGATCAAGAGGTGAGCAAGTGAGGCAAGACTGGGACAAGTCCCAGCTGAGTGCAGAAACGCTGATGATCACAAGGCAGAAGTGCCTTGGTGAAAACATCAGCAGTGTTGGCCTCAGAGGCCACGTACGCAAGTCGCAACTGACCATGCTGCTGCAGCTCACGAGCAAGAAAGTAGCGGAGAGCAATGTGCTTCGTTCTGTGCTCCAGGCGCTGCTCTCGACACAAGGCCAGCATGGCCTTGTTGTCTACGTACAGCACTGGAGGAGAACGAGGCGGCTCTCCAAGGTCAGTCAGCAGGTAGGTGAGCCAGCGAAGCTCCTGAGCAGCCATGGCCCTGGCGTAGATCTCAGCCTCACAACTGGAGCCGAGAATAGAAGACGAGCGAGTAGCCCGCCACGAAACAGAGCCGGAACCAAGACTGAAGGTGTAACCCTGCGACGACCGCTGAGTAGCCTGGTCGTCAGCCCAAGAAGCGTCCGCGTGCCCAGTGAGGACCACTGGACTCCGCCCTCCAAGCACTAGCCCCATGCCCGACGTACTGCACAAGTAGCGCAACACCCTCTTCGCTGCAGCCATGTGCTCTGGTCGGTGTCTCCCAGGAGCAACATAGCGTGCCAAGATGCTAAGAGGGTATGCAAGGTCAGGTCGTGTGCAGGTCATCAGGTACATGAGGCAGCCAACAAGCTCTGGGTACGGGCCACTCGACTCTACGGACTCATCCGAAGGCAGAGCTGAGAGCGAGTGGCGAGTAGGCAGAGGAGTGGCCTGAGGCGAGGAGTACGTGAAGCCGAAGCGCTGAAGGACCTGCTGCACCATGTGTGACTGAGTCAAGGTAATGGTGCGGCGTGCTCTGTCCCGAGTGATCTGCAAGCCAAGGTAGCTGCGCAGTTCACCCAGGTCTGTGCACGTGTGTCTCTTCTGCAGCTCGGACTTCACGTAGGCGAGTCCAGCAGTGTCCGCTGTGGCAAAGACCAAGTCGTCGACGTACACGAGGATGTAGAACGGCGGCAAAGAAGTGTCGGTGCGCAGAAACAACGACGGGTCAGCAGTAGAGGGAGCAAACCCAAGAGCCGCAAGCGTAGTCCTCAGTGTGTCGTGCCACTCACGTGGTGCCTGGCGAAGACCGTAGACTGGCCGTCGGAGGCTCCATTGGGTGCCAGGAGGGAAAGTCCAAGTGAAGCCAGGTGGACGGCGCAGCCAGATCTCCTCGTGCAGGCTACCCTGCAAGAAAGCAGTGTTGAAGTCAAGAGAGTGGAGCTCGTAGTCGCGCTGAGCGGCTATGTGCAGCAGCACCCGAAGAGTGGTCATCTTCGGGGTGGGAGAGAAGGTCTGAAAGTAGTCAACTCCCTGCCGCTGACTGAAGCCACGAGCCACGTACCGCGCCTTGAAGACAGGTGGAGAGCCCGGCGGCCGCTTCACCCTGAAGATCCACATCCCACTGACAATGTTCGCCCCAGGAGGGGGAACCTCGTCAACGTAGGTGCCTGTGGACTTCCAGGAAGCCATCTCTGCATCCATAGCTGCCTGCCACTGAGAGGAGTAGGGACCCTCTACGGCCTCCGCGTAAGAGCGCGGAGTCGGGATGTCTAGTGCATCCGGGTCTCCCTCAGGGGCAAGCAGTACAGACGCGAGATGAGGTGAAGCAGCAGCCAGACACTGAAACTCCTCCTGCCTGTCCTCAAGGACGTCCGTGCCAAGAGCACACTCACCCCCGACGGACGGAGGACAGACAGACGGAGACTCAGCAACAAGACTAGCAGCGTAGTCTAGACGACAGCGAGCAGCGAAGTCGACGAGCTCAGCAACAAGAGCAGACGCAGCAGTGGACTCAAAGGAGGGGTCAGTGACGACAGTAGCAAGGAGACGCGTGACAGTAGGACTGGCAGCACGAAGAGAGTCCGACTCAGGGTCGGCAAGCGCAGGAAGAGAGGACTCAGGAGGAGAGGGCAAAGGGGCACGCAGAGGAGCAGTGGACGGACGCAGAGACATCCGGTGCGTGCCAGGGTCAGGAGGAGGACGCTGACGCGAACTGCGACCACTAGTGCGAGCAGCACCAACAGGCGACGCAGGACGAGACGCAGGCTCACGACGCTCAGCAAGACCACCAGTAGGACCAGTTTACGGAGACGGAGAAGGCAGTGGGGAGGCCGGCGGTAACTGTGACTGCGACTGGACAGGCGGTGGACCCTCTAAGAGAGGAGGAAGACCAAGAACCTGCTGAAGGAGCGGAACGAAGTACGGCCGAGGCCGCGCGGCGGCACCAGACACAGCAGGGACAGCACCAGCACCCTCAGCACCTCCTGCGGCAGGACCTCCAGTAGCGCCAGCAGTACCCGTAGGGCGGCGGGGCCGTCAAAGTAGGGCGGCGGGGCCGCAACGTAGGGCGGCGGGGCCGTCGAAGTAGGGCGGCGGGGCCGCGACGTAGGGCGGCGGGGCC